GGCATGTACTTTTCCTTTTATTCATCAGTTTCAAAGCTCTCCACTTTGCCTACAGTCAAATCATGCTGAAAACACTGGTTCTTGCTCAATCACCAGAGTTAAGCAGTGTTGTACCCAGACCAGTACCTAGATGGGTGATTAATTGGCAACACAGGGTACTGCAATTCACCTATAATCCAAAATATGTTTTGGCCTTAAATAACCAACAAATAGTTGATAAGCCATAAAAAGAATATTCTTAAGTGGAGACAAAAAAAAAAAAATAAATAAAATAAAATAAAAGATAATACATTAAGTAGCACTTTCCGACAGAATAGGTGCAACTACCACAGATTGGTAGAGAGGTTTTGCCAGCCACTGCAAAGTCATCCTTGTTCTTCAACATTGTCACTTCTGTTTTGCGGAATGTTAAGAGCAATGCAAGATTTTGCTGTGCTGTACATGAACTTTCCTTGGGAAGCTAGTGCCAGGTGCATCACCTGTTATCACCCATGCATGTCCTGGTCAAAAAGGTGTGACAAGACAATTTCTCCCAAACTCCTGTACCAAGATGGTCACAAGAGACATTGGTCCATATGTCACCATCCCAGTTAAAGTACATGCAATCAAAAAGTGTGGCTCCTAGTCAAATAATGGTTGGAGGTAATGGAGGAAAGCAGATGGACAGTGACATGGTGAATATGAAACATGACCCCCAAAAGAGGATCTTGTGTATGGGGGAATGGCGTGGTAGAGCAGGCCATCTTCATGTCCAGATGTGCTGAAGGCAAATCTGGTCATGACCACTATTGTTAACTTCTTCAATAACATAGATAGGTTATAAACCTTGGCCACAACAAAGAGGCAAAAGCAGTGATTAATCATGGGACAGAGCCATGAAATGGACAATACAGGAGACAATATCCTGAACAACGCTATCAGGCAATGAACTAGACCGAAAGAAGTCATAAACTGAGTGTATGAAATAGTTAAACAATGTTAATTCATGCAGTTCCCAAATGATACCCACACAAGCAGGAAAGGCCCCAATTAAGATGAGAAGGCTAAATCAGGAGACATAATATATATGGAAAAAATGGCAAGAACACTAACAAAAGGAGTTCCATGCTGTGACTAAGAGAGCCAAATTGATACCTAAGTGTCTGGTCAGCCAAGGACTCAAAGGCATTTTAAAATCAATTGCTAATCAAAATAGAGAAATGAAAAACAAACTAAACCTTATTAACTGAAGCTAATAATATAGCTTTGTATTTACAATACAGAATTTTAGAAGAGCAAACTAAATTAGGTTATAACTGTAACAATTGTAACTATAATTAACGATTATAACATTGTAACAATTGTAACTACAGTTTTGTCCATAGGTAATCAAATAGTTTAAGCAATTAAGAAGCCTTTTCTTCTCCCATCTGACAATATTTCATTACTACAGATGTTATTTTTTTTGTGGGTACACAAACTTCTGCAGTTGGGACTCTAAAGTTGGTTCCTAACTCGTCTCTAGCATTAAGAATCTTAACAGACAAATATTGTAGACAGATCAGAGAACAATGCCAAGCTGTAACATCAAAGCTATCCACAACTAGTGTAGAAAATAAAATTGGCCTTCAAATCCAAATGAAGATCCATTATTAGATGAGATAATATTGGTTGTCTAATAATGGATCCTCTTTGGAATTGAAGAGAATATTTACAAGAACCAAAATATTTTGTTAACCTTATTTTCGGATTTTATATATATATATATATATATATATATATATATATATATGTGTGTGTGTATTTTAGTGAAGGGGACATAAAAGGCATTCAAAATCTAGGCATTTCTACAACACATTTGTGCTTTCTTGGATAATCTTTGATTAAATTTGGATCTTTATAGCAAGGCAATAGAGAGAGAAAAATGATTCACTTTGTCATCAGAGTTGGGAGCAACATTTTTTTTATTTTTATTTTGCAAACCTGTTGAAAGTCTACTTTTATTCAAAGTAAAATTTCAGATTAAGCTAAGAAAAAATTTGGAAACTCTTACTCATCACATCTAAATTTCTTTGAATGTCAGAAAGTATTTTTCTGTACAGAACATCAATAGGAATAGATTCTGTTATTTGAGTATATTGATAAACACCCCCCACCAAAAAAAAAAATTACTAGGTATATAAATATATATAAATATATTTCATTAGGCTCAAAGTCAAGTTTAGATTAAAAGTTAATTTTAAAATTAATCTTAAAAGTTATTCATCTTAGCAATTCTACATAAAAAAAAAGTCAAGAACAAATTCTTATAATCTTTCAAATATGAAGAATTATAAAATGGCCACTTGATTCTTTAACTATTATTTTCAAAAGACAGCACTAATAATATTAAATATGACAGTTTACAAAGCAACAAGTGAGAAATTGTTTTGTCCAATTTTTATTTAAAACGAGAATATTAAATTAAAGTTGTATTTCAAATTCACAACCATTCTCAAAAATTTAAGGAATGTAAACCAAAATGAAACATGTGGTTACTGCTCTCCTATTTCCTATCTTAGCTGCCTACCATCCCTCACCCAACTCTTGGGGTAAGTGGGGCACATGGCGGGGGGTGATTTGTAGCCGAGCCGAGAGCAGTAGCTAAATTCTTCTCTTGTTAAATATTCCCTATAGTAAGCATTAAATACTCTTGCAACCCAAGGCAAAGTATTTAGATGAGGAGGGTGTTTAGAATTCCAGGACCCCCCCCACCCAAAAAAAAAGCACAACCCTGGAAGAGTTTTTTTTTTAGTGCAATTTTCTCTCAAACTGGAACCAGAGAACGGCAAGCTTGTGAAAAGAGTTGAAGTGATAAGAGGGACTATGGCAGAGCATCAAGTTGATGTGATTTTTTTTGCTTTTATTTTTTTGAAGTGGGGGGGCAGGTGAAGACTAAAATATGGAAGATGAGCAGGTGAGATTAAACATGATAGAAGTTTTATATGAAAAATACTTTTCTTTGAGAAAAGAAAGGAAGATTTTGGTCCAGATAAGATCAAATAGAAGAGAGATCTTTGTGCTGATGACAGCCATACACATTTATCATTTCAAAAATGAAAGAAAAAGAAAAAAAATATGAAGAATGTACAATATTATTTTAGGAGAGGAAAATGCATTTTTTTTTTCACCCAACCAACTCTTAAAAATACCAAGAGTCTCACAGAATCAGCAACCAACTTCCAACCATTCAAATTTCATGAACAGAATCAGAAAGACGAGCTCTTTGGTGACATTACCTACCCCCAAACTGAGCTGACAACATATATACATAATCACTACTTAGGATAGTCAAGCACTGGTAGTTAAAACTTCTACAGAAAGAATTTGAGCTTAGTGCTTGTTCTCATTCCTTAGTACCTGCTCTTCGCTACCAATAGGAGGAGGATACATTTCAGGTTTTTTAAATATCAACTGCACACAATACTGAAACAAAAAAATCTCAACATAATTTCTGTAGTAATAAGGTATTTGTTATTGCGAAGAAGAAAAAAAACACAAAAAAGGTTATCCTAAAATTCTAAGCAATTAAATCCTTTATAATAAGGACATTTGTGACAATTGTTAACTGACTGATTATGAGTTGCATGAAAAGAGTCAAAAGATTTGTTTCTAATATTTATGTATTGCTTGGCACAGAAAGAAAATTTGACTTGTTCAGTAGTGGATGCCTATTAAATAAAGACAAGATTAGATGAACAAAAAAAAAAACAAACAGATGAGATATGAGAATAGGATGACATTCAAAAGACAAGTTTTGTTTTATGGACACCATCAAGTGATGCAGCTACATATGCACTTAGCTTGCCATCACAAACTTGTCATTACTAAGAAAGTTAAAAAAAAAAAAAAAATTTAACATTTGAAATCAATTTAACCACGCCCAAGTAAATAACCACCCCCAAGTAAAAGAAGAAAGTCTATTACTGTACATTGAGCAAACAAACTTTTTTTAACCCTGAGATAATACCTAAGTTAATTTTGTTTTTTGTTTTTTTTAAGACAATCCTTCTGAAACAACATATCCTTTTTTTTTTTAAGGAACATATCTTTAACATTTTGTTGTCAGTGCTGAGATATCACATTGAGATATAAATTTGAACCATAGGTAAGATTATTTTAGATGCATAATACAAGTGGGCGAGAATATTTGTCAAGGATTTTGGTTATAATTTATGTGCGTAGAGAATCAGGAAGTGAAATCTCCTGAAGGCAGGATAGGAAGATTGGGAGCAGGGGGGATGGTGTACATTATGCTAGAAACTTAGTTTCCAAACTCTAAAAAGTTCTTCAATGGCCAGAGAGAAAAAAGCCTTGTTGACACAGACACGAAGAGCTTTAGCAATTATTCTATTAAAAACTAATAGAATCTTAAATTTAATAAAATTAAAGACAAAATCATGTTTATATAAATAGAAAAAAAAAGATAAATGTCACTGTATCCCCAATACTAACAAAGTTTTAAAGAAGTTGACGGAAGTGGGGTGCCGGCTGCATGGTTCATGGAGGGAAGTATACAGCTTTTTTTATGCTTGTTTGTTAAGATAATGAGAAAATGACATCCCACCCATATACCCAAACAGCATAAGTATTTGTAAAAATAGAACATTGTGATAAAGAGAAGAAAAAAAAAAAAGTAGAAATCTGTAAGGGGAAATTAATGGACATAACTCCAATGAGAAAATAAGCACTTGAAGGGAACATTTTTTCTTCTTCATCCCAATAGAAAGAGGAGATTGGAAAAAGATCTTAACAGTGAGAGGAGGAGGAGGAAGGTTGTTTTAATCATCAAGCAACAGTGGCGGTCATGGTTTTTAGAATGCCTATCAGCATTGAGGGAGCAGGGGGTGGGTGTATTTGTGGGGGATAAAAAAAATAATGGAATAATTCATGTTCTTTATATCAAACTCAATGTTGTTGGTGATGATTTTCATGGTGGTACAATCAGCATCCATTTGGAACTGCCAGTTTTATGAAACGAGTCACTGAAAAATAAAATAAAAACTATCACTAAAACAATTGTGCAATGTATTGTTGATCTGTAAGAAAAATTTTCATATTTGGAAAATTGAGATGCAAAGATTTAATGTCTACAGAATTTGGGGTCCGCACGGAACATGGGATAGCTACTGAGGATTTGGGGTCCGCACGGAACACGGGATAGCTACTGAGGATTTGGGGTCCGCACGGAACATGGGATAGCTACTGAGGATTTGGGTCCCATGGGAACATGGGATAGCTACATGGGAGGATTTGGGGGTCCAGACGGAACATGGGATAGCTACTGAGGATTTGGGGTCCGGAACATGGGAACATGGAACATGGGACAGCTACTGAGGATTTTTTATGGATGGGATATGAGGATTTTTTTTATATCAATTGACAAAATGAAGAAATGCATAATTATAGGTTACCTTTATTAATTCTACTTCGTCTTCACTGAAAATTGGCATTTTTTTGGTAGAATATTTAATTCCAAGATGATTTGCAACTTCATCTATAATATCTATGGCCTGTGGAAAATAAAATAATGGGGATAAAAAAATTAGTCATGTAATAACTCAACAAAAAGAAATATATTAAAAGAGCTAATACTCCAGACCCCATATTAAGTATGGCTGTGTTAGATCTACATCAAATTAAATGACAGCCACAGAATAAAAGGAAACATTTTGATATGTTAAAAAATTGCAAAATCACAAACAAGTAATGAGATTTTTAATCAAGTACCTCATAGCATGCACCAAATACTTCATGAGTAATATGTGATTGCATCCATGTAGTCATCTTGATGTCTGCAGTCATTCAAAAATATTTTTTAAGTGAATGTGTCCTATGACTCTCCAGGATTTAAAAACAGTGCAAGGTTCAAAGATACAGGACAGATTAATATGAAATACACATTGTATAGATTAGCAACTCTTTCAGATCAGAGGTCAAAAAGGACACCCAATTTGGTTATGTCATTGTGTATTCAAAATTTATGACATTCCAATTTCTTCTCACCGACCAACATTTGTTAATATTACTGAAAACATTTTTAGAGATACATGTTTAAAGTAGACAACCTTTTTTTTTTTTTTTTTGTTGTTATATATCTCTCAACCAAAATACCTCCCACATAATGGTAAGACATTAAGTAGATGAAGATACCATTGCCACAACCTCTGCATGTCTGTTTTAGTAGATAAACAAATTTTCTACTCAAATATGGGTATTAAATATATTTATTTTTATCTACCATCCTGAGCATTGACTCAAATATGGGTATCCACTAAAAGTAATGTTAATAAAATAGGTTGGATTTATAAATAAAAATCCATCACTTCTTTAGAAATTATTTTGTTTACATTAGGATACAAAACTGAGCAGATATGAGAGTCAGAAAAAGATTTACATTTACAAGGCACTATTCAACTTTGCTTGATTGGTTAGATATGCTATAGCCGAGTTGGTATAAGCATGTCAGATCTAACAATTTCTCCTGCCAAGGGAGATGCAGGTTTGAATTATATTTTGGTAAGATTTCATGAATATTCAGGCCGGTAGACAAAATAAAATATACTGTTTAATAAATAACCAGAGTGTTTACTGAAATATGGGTATATGAAAATTTTTTCCCCCATATAAGTTTAATTAAAAACGATTGACAAAATACTGCAGTTTTATATATGTTACTGAGATGGTGGGGGAGGGGAATGGCAAACATTAATCAGGTTCACCTTGATCCTTTGTACAAGGCAAGCAATACCCTTAAGAGTTTGACTGAAAATATTGCCAAATAGTGAATGATACCCTATCTAATCAGAATTTATACAAAACCTTAAACAGTTTTCTGCCACATGTCATGGATACTCTCTTTATGGCAATTTGATGTCATTTATACTCTTCAATTTTGTAGAAGATTTGTCATTGTATAGTCTGTAATGAATACTCTCCCAGAAAAAGGTCCACTCAGCATAGGCTGTTCATTAAGAGAAAGAAAGAAAACAAAAAGAAAAAGAGAAACTGAACAGTCAGTATTTCTTGTTTTAACATGGACATCATTGTTTCTGAAAAGTCACTGGGAGACTCCATCCAAAATTCATGGCTAAGGGGGAGAATAGCTGGCAACATTTCAATCTAAATGAGAATCTCCAGAAATCCAAGGATAAAGAAATTGCTGAACTGTTGCAGTGTGAGTAATTGGCTCTTTTGAAGGGACCCCAGGGTAATTAGTTGACCAGTCATTGTTACACAGGTCATGTGACATCAGGTCTCAAGAGACAATGGATCTGTAACCAAAAAGTTATGCCTCAGTTATTGATAGTGGCACAGCATTTTTTTTGGCTGTACAGGTCCAACTGTAATGAATGCATGTCAAGGTGCTCTTCCTCCAATGTTGTAATGTTGTTTTCTTTCCTTCAAGCACACTTCTCCCTGGCAACAGTTCTCTCCTTGCTCCAGCCCTCAGTGTAAATTGCATTTTCAGTAAGAGATTGTTGGCAATGTCTTCTCACCTCTTGATGTCCCTTTTGCAGACAACCTTGAAGTGAAGATAAGTTCACACTTGTGTTCACTTGCCAGTGGCAAGTTTGCCATATAGAACTTTGTTGTTTTCCAGTGTTTTATGGTTGCAAATTGTTGCATAAAAACATGCTACATGGTTCTGCAGAAGGAACAGCAGGTAGCAGAATGTTTTTCTGTAGGCAGGCTATTCTTTAGACCCAACTCCATCAGATTGCCAACAATGTTGATTGGTCAGTAATTCCAACAAATTCAAGATTGCTCAAAATCTATTGATATCAAACTGAAGTCATTTTGTCTTGATGACTGAATACACAAACATTGATAAGTATAAAAGCACAAATTAAGACTGTTTGGTGGGGAAACACTAAGTAAAAGAAAAAAAAATATAATACCAACCCTATCCAACATTTCTTTATTGTGAGAAGCAGACAGACAAAATCTGGCCCTTGACTCTATGATGGGTGTAGCAGGAAAGCCAACGACAACAACACCAAGACCTTTCTCAAGGGTTTTACGGGCAAATTCACTGAAATAAATTTTCAAGAACTGAAAACAATTCTAAATTTTTTTCTAAAAAAAAATCAAAATCTGCAAGTCAGATAACACATAACATTATATTTAGTTTAAAAAAAAATTATCTATTCAGGTAAAAGACAATGCATTTTTGAGAGAGAGGGAGAGAGAGAATGCTGAATAAAGCCCTGACTGGTCATTTTTATTCAAATAGATTATTTGTTCATCCATAATGATCATTTTAAAAGTAAGGAAGTCTAAAAAGAATTAAGAGATAAAAGGAACTCATGTCATGAGAACCACATCTAACTAGAGTCCCTTTGGGAGGGGTGATGCAACAGCTTTTTTCAGCTTCCATACATTAAAAATTAGATGTCTGCATAAAGGCAAAGTCCAGTTTCTTTCATTCATTTATTGTAAAATAAATATCTAAGTTGGACACAAAGTAAGGTTCTATTCTTGCATGTATATTGAGGAGGAAAACAAAAAAAACTTTCTCTTTCAAGCCAGTTCACATTGTGACATTTTTAGAAGGTCAAAGCGGATACATTTTCTGAGTGAAATGACCTTGTTCACTTAAGCAAATCTAACACAAAATAGAATCTACTAAAACTTCTATTAGTAGTACAAAATTTATAGTAAAGACAAGTGAACCATGTCTGCCCATAAGGCTTCCTCAGTAGATAAAATTTTCACACCAAAGGATTGCATTACTGCATTTAACCTCTTGGATTTTAAAGTCAAAATTATTACAAAATTAATGTTAAAAGATTCAATTCCAGATGAATTACATTTTTATTTCTATCTTTGTGTGTGGATCAAAAAGGCTTACAGACTGTAGAGACTTACTATATTAAGGTAATTAGATAAAACTACTATAAAGAGGTTTAAACAGTAGAAAGCCTTTTTATAAATAATATTTTCAAAAACCCATTGGACAATCAACAGCTTAGATTTTGCCAAGAGAACAACTACTTTCAGGTTTAGTTATGTTATAAAGTAACTCGTCAAATGAGATGCACTCCTCCAGAGAATGAGTTTTGAGAAAAAGTTATAAAATAGAATGGATGGGGAGGATTTCATTAAAATATAAGTGTACTAATAAAATTAGTATCTTAATGTTAGTACAAAATATCCCTATTTATCCACTTTGGACCTAAAGAATTTCACTCTGGAAATAGTTATTGCAATTGGTCCCAAAACAACAACATGCCAGATTGACAAAAGTTTGCTTTTATGGGATAAAAGTCTTAAATCAATTCAAATGGAATCATGGAGAGTTTACTTGGATATAGATAAAGTTGTTTTTTTTTTTCAAACTCACGCAATATTTGACGGCATGTAGAGAAGAATTGGAACGACAGGAGAATCTTTGTTGCCATAAACAATAACATTCAATTCATTTAGCCTGCGACGGAAATAGCGCACATTCCATTTCAGTTGAGCAATTCGTTTCTGGCCTGAAGAAAGGATTTTTAAAAAAAGAATTACAAACAGTACCAACAGAGCAGTTTAAAGTTATTGAAGTTTCCATTAAAAGTTTTTATTAACCATAATTCAGATAATGTTAATGTTTCTTTTCAAGCTTAAGAAAAATATTATCGCATGTTTAAAAAAAAAAAAAAAAAAAAACTGAGCCTCACCCTCTTTAGTTCCATCTGCGCCAGAAATGATTTTAATTGTGCTGATGATTTGCTGAGCGACTGGTGGTGACATGCAACTGGAATACATTGTGCTGTGAGAATTTAATCGCAAGTGATTTATCAAATCCTATGAAAAAAAAAAAAAAAAGAAAATAATGAAAAATTGATCCTTAAAAATAAGATGTAAAATTTTGAATAGACAAATCCAAACCTATTTTGATAGCAAAGATGAAACCCAAAATGAGCAAATACGAAATCCAAGATTGGTTTAAAAAGAGTTTTACCTTTGATCCACCAATATAACCACCAGCAGAAGCAAAACTCTTTGTGAAAGTGCCCATCATAATATCAACATCTCGTGGGTTAATGCCAAAATATTCACAAACTCCACGGCCATGAGTTCCAATGGCACCGATACTATGAGCTTCATCCAAATACAAGTAAGCCTTGTATTTTTTCTTTAAGTGAATGACTTCTGGAAGACGGCAAATAGAACCTTCCATACTGTAAATACAGGCAATAACAAGAGGAAAAAGAAATAAAATTATAAAGTTATGCAAGAAGAAACATTTTTGCAACTAAGTTTTCAAATATTTTGTACATTCAAGAGGAATTTTATGAGAAGAGGCCACTCATCCAGGATTTATTATTGGTTTAGTTTATTTTGCTTTACAGTATATCAACACCTCAATGGGTTATTTAATGCTAACAAAATTTTTAGGATAGGTTCATATGAATAGAATATGTATTCTTTGCAAGAAATCAGTTTGTAGATCAGATTTCACCAATGTATTTTCATAAAGAGAGTCTTTAATCGATAGTCAAATATATCACTGGTAATATTTCATTTTTTTCCTTTCAAAAATGTATTGCTGGTATTTTTTACTATAAAAATGTATTTTTATATTTTCATAGTGTATTGACCCCAGTTTGGGTGTTAACTATTTGCCCATAGCTAGGACCCTAACAGATGCTACCACTCTGGGTCAGGGTGAACCTGGGAACAACAGTAATTAAGAGGTGGTCCCATGCTCCTCACAACCAGAGGCCTGTTGCTGGTTGTAGTTTGTCATACCCAGAACACTATTATTGGTGAGCACAATATAAGATATGCAGAGGACACTGTGTTGATGGAAGATACAGAAAAACTACAGGACCTCCTAGAAAAGGAAAGGAAGTCAGGCTAAGCATCACTTGTAAGAAGTGAATGTATAGTTGTCAATATCAAACAAGTAAAATGTTTAAGTATTGGGAAGGGTCCTAACAGACAATGACACGCGTCTGGCAAGGGTCCTAACAGATCACAGAAAATGTGACACAAAAATCCAAAAGGTGTATTGGAGTAGGAAATGGTTACTTCCAAAGAGAAAGATTATCAGAAAAGAATTGAACAGTTATGTAATATGAACCTCCTATACGGCAGTGAATACTGGAAAAATTTCCTTATTAGAGAAGGCTTGAGGCAACACAAGAAAAGGCTCCACAGAAGGAATCTATGAATAACATGGACAGATCATGTGAGCAACAAGGAAGTTTAAAATAAAAATAGAAACAAAAGGATGTTCATGATTTAGAATCTTTGAAATTTCAAGAACATATGGAAAGAGGGATTGAAAAATTTGACATTCCAACACTAGCTTGTGTAAATGGATGGTAAAATGGAGTAAGATGGATAAAAAAAAACAAAAAAAAAACATGACTAAGAGCTGCAAAGGATAGGAAGTTGTGGAGCGTCATGATCAGCCATGTCCCGAGGGATGTGCCACATAGAACTTCAACACACAAGAATGGACTCACCTGTAAATTCCCTCAATTACTATCAAGATTTTTTTCCATGGACGATGTGTTCTGGGCTGGCCTTCTATTACAGCCTGCTTCAAAATTCTTTCCAAATCTACCATGTCTAGAGAGGAGGGGAAAAAGAAATTCAATAGATTATTAGACATAGAATTAAGAGCAACTTTACAGATGATAATCATTATGTAATCCTTCTACTTACTGTTATGTTTGAAGACTCTTATATTGGAACCCGAAAGACGTGCACCAAGGACCAATGATGCATGGTTGAGCTCATCACTGATAATCAAACAGCCCTGAGAAAAAAAAAAGAGAAAATTAGTCAAAATAGAGAAAAAAATGGTCAGGCAACATTTATTGCCTCAAAAGCATAAAAATTAAAATGTATGTCTAAGTGTTTCAGTTAAAGTTAATTATAATTTTCAGTATTTAATTCAGAAAGTTACAAACGTTTAATAATTTTTGTGCTCAGAACTTGGAGATATTTTTATGACATGAAACTTTCATTTTTTTTTTTAAATTACAAATGTGATAAGATTTCTAGTGACAGAATTTCAAATACATTTGTTAAACTAGAAAAAAAAACTTTCTGAAGTTAAAAAATAAAATAATTAAGAATTCTAGGAAACTTGACATTAATACTAGAATCATGATTTAATCTAAAAATCAATGCTTTTCAAATAGAAAAGAATTCCACTATTTATAGTTATTTTTGCATTTAAGAGTTACCTACCTTGCCAACGAGGCATGGAATGTTCATAGAGTTTGTAGCAAATCCCATTGGGAATGTGACAGCTGCTTCAGTGCCTAGAAAATCTGCAACAAGCAGATCTAGTTCTCTGTGAATGTCAAGATACCCTGGAGAGGAGGGGGAAAGAAAAAAAAAGACAATTCCAATAGTGAGTGGACATTTTCTGCACTCATTGGTACTAATTGTTCATCTACAGAAGGAAACACTGACTCCTTACTAAAAAAGAAGCAGCCTTGTTTGCCACCAGAGCAGAATAATTTTCTGCTATGTTGACAGAGTTAGTTGAGTGAATCTTACAGCTTTACAGAGAAAGTGTTATTTGATTCTGTAGACAGAGAGCAGAAACAGCCTTCAAAAGCCACACTCAAACATGTATTAAAAATTCAATATAAAGTCAAGATATTCTATTTAAAAATAAGAATCCTTAACTGTTGTGATTACAAAAGAACAATGTGTGAAAAGGACCCTTAGCACTGCTATATATATATATATATATATATATATATATATATATATATATATATACTTGACTTCCTTAGCAACATTTGTTTACAAGATTATAAAAATGTGAACAAAGTACAATGCAATATTTATTTACCTTTTATATATAAAAACAAAAAAAAAATTGAAAAATATTTATAAACTTTTATGATATTACAAAATTATTAAAATACATAAATCAACTACAGTGCAATATTTATTACTTGACATTTTGTAAATAACTATAGAACAAGAAAATTTGAATAAATGACAAAGTTTTTGATTCAGAATGAGAGATTCTCATAAGTATTTCAGTGATTTTATGTGTCAAGAGCAAATGAAAAAAAAGCCTGGAAAATGCAATTTTTTTCAAAATTTATAATTACAGTTACTTGTTATGAGTTTATTGAAATTTTTTTTGTTCAGACATTTCTATAAATTTATCAATAGACAAAATTCTTTTCAGATTTATTTCTTTATAAAATGGTAAATAAATATTTCAGTATAGCTAGTTCACACGTGTGTATAGGCATATCTGACTGAATAAATTACAAATATTATATTTGCCTTTTTTTTTTTTGCTTATTTTTACAATAATCCTTTCATATTCACAAATATTTTTATACATGTTAAAATTAAATAAGGCAAGAAATGCATTGTTAACAGTGAGAATCACTTATTTCCCAAAGTACTTTCCATCTCTTTCCAAGATCATGGGTGCAACTGGTTAGTCAATAACTATGTGTATCTATCAATTACTGAATTTTTTCTTCTTTTCTTTTGCATTTAAATGCTATGGCTGACAGTTATGCTTTAACATTCATTAGAACGTGAATAGTTATCTATTATGAAATCTTTTATGTTGGAATGTCATGGTCAAGTGTGCATTCGTCCATTGTGTGACACCAACATTCCTGCCCACATTCATCGTACAGAAAAATACGGATTGATGATAAGTATCGTACACCAAGAAAATAAATTAAAACTACAGATCCTCAAAGCAATCTTCATTAAAAAATTGAAGCTGACACTGAATAGAATCAGCTATGAATATTATAATAATGTTCTATATTGCCTATAAAAAGAACAGTTTTCATGCTTTAATGTGTGCTCAACCATGACATTGCAGCATTAAAGAAAAGATTCCATTATAAATAATTCAGACACACACACACACACACATATATATATGAAATGGACTCCCATCAATTTTGTCATATGAGGAACTGACAGCCTCATTCAGTTTTCATGTCTGTGTCATAGGAGACTTCATTCCTGCATACAAATCCCCATATTATGCAGCAGCAGCAAGGATCTCAGGACATGGCAACAGGAATATTTGCTGACACATTTTACCATTGTCTTTCATCTCTTAACTGGTCATTATGACTGATTTCAAAGTTTTTGATATCACTGGCACAAATATCTCCAGTTATTTCTATCCAGGGCAACTTGCTCAAAGTTAGTATGAGGTACATCTGAGGTGTGTGTGTATATATATATATATATATATATATATATATATATATATATATATATATATATATATATATATGTGTGTGTGTGCATAAATAAGCAAGCTAGTAGTGTTTAATTTGTTAATTCTCAAAGAAAATGTATGAAACCACTTATGTTTGGGTTTTATTAAAAGTCTAATCAAGGCTTTTAAAAAAACAACCCTTGCCAAGGGAGTCAAAAAGTGTATATCGTAATAGCAGTGTTAAAGGAATAAGCATCCCTTAGATGCTCTTTTTTTTTCAGGCATGAAGGTTAAAACATTGTCAAAACAGCATTACTGATCAATCACCAACCTTGCATCTTCTAAGTCCTTTGGATTCCCAGCTTTATTACAGATAAGTGACAAAATATCTGCTGTTTATGCTTGTTACAGATTAGAAAGTGATCCATTTGCTACATGTATGAAAAGGTTATTTAAAAGAAAGTCTTAAGTAACTCCTTGTCTCAGTTCTTAAGCCAAGAGGATTTCTTATACAATTTTTATACAAAGGCCAAGGTTTTCTGTTCTTCAAAAGGAAATGGGGAAGTCCAGTGGATAAAAACGTTGGGTGAAGTAACCAAGTGACTTGACCCAAAGTGTTATAAGGTCACAGCAGAGGTTTTGGGAAGAAAAAAAAACAAAGAAAAAAAACAAAACAGTGCTGAATTACTTAAGGGAAATAACTGAAACATATCCAGAAAAGGTATGTCACAAGAACAATCTATCCCAGTGGACTAAAAGGGTTTAGTTTGATATTCGAACATATCACTTGAAAAAGTCCAGAGTGTATAACAGCCAAAACATTGCTAATATGAAGCTGAGAACAGTCTGAACAATGTAAACAGTGTAAAAAAAAAAAAAAAAAAACTTTAAACTATCAAACTCCAATGCCAACAATAGGGTAATATCTGTGTAAGCAGAATATTGTGCAAAAATTAACACATTCAGAAAATCTGACATTAAAAATAATGTAAACAATGCTTCTTAATAAAAATCAGAAACTCACCCAAGCCATGACGACTGGCACAAGAACCAATACCATGAGTTCCTATTACAACTTCAACTTCATCTGTACATTTACCAGTGTTTTCTCCAAAGCCAAGGTAATTGTACGAACCAAAGTTCATCACCCTAATTTTGTTACCTGTCAGCCTGTAATGTTGGAAAATAAGAGGTTGACAAAATAACATCATTGCAGGCAGGTCATTTGAAGGAGTAAATTTTTTTTTTTAAATGATAGTGTACACAGTGCGATGGGTAAATTATCACCATTTTATATTTTTAATTTCATGCATGTGTTTGGTTTTGTCAATTGCACAGTATAGTAGGGTCAGTTGGGCACTGGAAAAAAAAAAAAAAAAAAAAAAAAGCACCATGACGCAATTCAGTCTACCAGAAATTTGGAATGGCATACTGTACTGCATTCGTGCCAAAAGCTCCAATACAAACATTTCAGAATATTTGGATGTCAATCTCAGGACAGTGCAGAGGATCCAAAAAGAGTTGGATGAGTGTAATGGAGATTACGAAAGTATGACAGCTTGGAGAACTCACTGCTTGTGCTGATAAAAAAAAAGAACTTCCTAATTTGTTGGTGAGGGCTTCAGACCCAACACAAAGGCCTACAACAAGTGCGTTGAAGAGAGAGTGCTGCCTCGGTTCAAGAGGGTGGCTGCTGAAAGATAATCCGACTGGCAACAGGACTCTGCACCATGCCACACAAACAGGAGAATACCGTCATGGCTGTCGGGCAATTTCTGTGACCACATCATCCCTTACATATGGCCACCTAACTCTCCAGACTGCAACCATGTTGATTATGTGTGGGGTGCTGTTGAGCAAAAGGCCAACAAAACTCTTTGTAATACCAAAGATGTACTGAAGGCAAGGATTATGGCAGCATTCACCAACTTAAAAGAGGCTGTCCAGAAGAGTTGTAGGAGATTCCATAGTCGTATTCCATGCCTTGGTTGAAGCCAATAAAGATTTTATTGAATAAATTTACTCTAGTATTTCAAGATATTTTTGTGTAATTTTGATAAATATATGTTAAAATTAGATGTCAGTGTGATATTCACTTTTGTGTAATTTAGACAATTTATCCATCGCAATCTGTATATAAAAGAATCTGTTCAAGCAAACCAAATATTTTCAATCTTTACTTCTTGTCTCAGGACTTCCATGATGCCTCCTTTACCAACCACTTAATTAAAATTTGAAGAAATTTTAGCAAAGCCAAATCAAAATTAGGAGAAGGTGTTTTAGTTGCTGGAATAATTTAATCTAAAGTAAATAATAAAACATGGAGATTTAGTAATGGAGAATTTTGAAATTTCCAATCCATATTCAGTCAAAATTATAAAAAATTCTTAGATTTTACTAAGCACCATGTTCTATTTCCAAGTAGAATTTAAGAGACAGCAGGAAAAGCTTTGAGATTCTGGTAGAAGAAAAGCAAATTGAAGAAAGTACACGAATCACTCACTTGTAATTCCAACCATGGTCTGGAGATACTCTTTCTAAAATGTCAATCTCAGCACCTGGGACGGTGGCCACAGGGCGGTTCCAACAGTCACTGATTCTGCGGTACAAGTTTCTCGTATAGAAACTTTCCCAACTCTGGTAAAGTGGTACAAATCCCTGAAAGCAATAAAAATAAACTGATTTGGAGCTGAAGATTAATCTTTGAAAAGAATTCTTTATTACTATTTCAACATTGAACATTTAAAAGATTATGTCAGCAGACTTAATATCAAATTCTTAAGGAAAAGAATTTTTTTTAAACTGAGAAAGACACACACTCACATTATATATATTATGAATATGCTATTAAAACACGTAAATTTCAGAAATAAGTTATTCCAAAAAAAAAGAAAAAATTTCGCTTGAAGATGGAACAGAGCTTACTTTAATTCAAATAATTATATTGAAGTTTTCAGCTCTTGTTTTGAAACATGAGACCTCTTATGTAGCGTGTTGGAATCATTTTTTAATATATATATATATATATATATATATATATATATATATATATATATAAAAACCTGCTATAATTATTAACATAAACTACCCCTCTCCCAGAATATTTAATACCACCATAAAAATAACCAATAAGGATTACAAACTGAAATTTCTACCAGTTACATATAGTCATCAAAAACAAGCAAATAATTTTTTTAAAATAACAAATAAGCTTTTAAAAAATTAAAAATAATAGTAATTTTTACCTATCATAATTTTACAGACCCCACCACATGTATATACATGCATGCGAGGAAATATTATTCAGCGAAAAAATAGAAAAATGCTGATTGCTGACATGTATACATTCACGAGAAATTTTCACTACACTTCCGATCTTTGAATTTCAACATACAAATGCATGTGTATAGAGACAACACCACCCATATACATACATATGTTAAATCCCATACTGCCCACATATGTTTATATCTGTATGAGTCCTGGCGGACGAGCAAGTGTGTATGTGTGTGTACGTCATCGGGTGCACGGACATGCATCTATGTTTGCGTTAGCATGAGAGAGATCACGACGACGATCACCCCCCTTCCATAATAACACCAATACACGCAACCTACATAAACCCAAAATTTAAAAAAAAAAATTAATCAGTTTGTCTGACGATTGCAAAAGCATGAAATCCAGGGTCACAAACTCACATCAATCCAACCATATATATATATATATATATATATATATATATATATATATATATATATAACAATTTCTGCAATGTTTGGATGGTCTCCTTGTTTAAGGTGGTGAATGCTATAATCTTTGCCTACTGTCAATCTTTGGTGTTTCGAGTTGTGTTGGTCTCTCACTCAACTGTGCCCCCATACATAATAATCAAGGAGGTTGCAATCTGGGAGAGGGGGGGGGGAATTAGATGGCCAGACAGCCATGACTGGGTTCTCCTGCTTGTGTGGCATGGTGCAGAGTCACATTGCCAGAGAGAGTCTTCCAGCAGCCACCCTCTTGCACTACCTCGTCAAGGTATTTGATGTTGGCCTTCATGTCGAGTGAGCCCATTTGGGAAGATGAATGGAATCATAATGTCACCATCACTAGTAATCACTCCAAAATCCTTTGTAATCCTGATTAGACTCATCCAACTCTTTCCAGATCCTCTTCACTGTTCTCAGATTGACTCCCACTCTGAAATGTTCATATTAGAGCTTTCAGCACAAGTGCCAAGCAGTACAGCATGCAGTTTCTAAATTTCTGGCAGAATGAATTGTATCATGTGCCCTTATTCTCACAGATGGTGCCCAACTGACCCTACTATACTGTCCTGTTGACAAAATCAAAACGCATGTGTATGAAATTAAAAATATAAAATAGCAATAATTTACCCATCACACACACACACACACAATTTTGGAATTAGGCTTACTGTAAGCAAATTAAAAACATTCTGGGCTGGATCTGCAATCCTAAAATTTTGGATTCCCAAGTTTTCATTACTGTTATTGTTTTCAGTGATTTTATTTTGTATGATAATTTTAAAACTTGGAAATAATCAAAATTAATTGCAAAATCCAGTGAAAGACACCCATGAAATAAAAACAATTGTTTGTATGGAAAGTGAAAACCTACATACATCAAATTGTCTTTAAATTATGTGTCAGCAGAAGAATTATTAAACATTTAAAAGGTAAGCTTAAATATTAATGCAATACTTAAAAAGCAGCGATCAATTTTTTTTTTTGAGTTCTGTAGTTTATGGTTGCCTACCGAATCTACTACTCCTCACCTATTGTGATGAAAGCCTAATCAAGAGCCCTCTGCAGAAGTTAACTTAAATGCTGCCCAATAGAGCAGCTAAGCTTTTGTGTGTGTGTGGGGGGGGAAGCAAATAGAGGACATTGGGGCAATAGTGTTTCATGCATAAACAATCTTCAGGGCTGAAGATTGTGCTTAAGCATAAAACAGACTGTTTTAAGAACCTGGACACAAATTTATTGTAGGTGATCTGGTGATTAAAGCATTTTCTAAACATTTTTGTCTTATTGAATTTTTTTTTTTTTTTTAAAGTAGCATTTTTTTTTTTTTTTTTTTTAAATCAAAATTGTGTTCAATCATTATGGTGAGCAACTAAAGCATTTAATGTGTTGTTTTGTAAAAGATCCCTTTTGTGTTCATATAATCTTTATTTAAATTCATTGAGGTTTCTCCTATGTATTCCTTGTGGCAATTATTATAGTCTATAGAGTAAATTCCTCCAAGTTTTAGCTTATTTCGTTTTGTATTAAGACATTGTTTTAGATATAGTTGTGACAAGTTTTATGTTTAATTTAGATAAATTCTTTTCAATTATAATTGTGGGAGAGTTGGCAGGTGGAACAATATATTTTGATTTGTAAAGTTTGTCAGGAAGGACAGCTTTTTTATTTTATAATTTTATGAGCTTTTTACATTATTTACATTATTCGGCTATTGTCCTCATCTTTGTTGCCATATTTATTACATTTCAGCTGTTGTATGCTCCGGCCTTCTACAGGTGGTTGGAATGTCAAACTTAACCATTTATTTCGCTCAATGGGGTAGACTGTTCTAGTTCCACGTGCCATGTTCTTAATGGATGTCAGTTATCAATTATCTCCTGTTAATTTCCCTCTGAAAGTTCTCCACTGCCTTAACTGGGTATTGAATTCACACTCTTTGGGTCCTGTCACTGGATCTAACCAATGCCTTTATCCACTATGCCATGTGTCCAACCACCTGAAGGCCAGAGCGTACAACAGTCAAAATGTAATAAAATCTGTGACAAAGATGAGGACAATAGTCCGAATAATGTAAATAATGTACATAATACCTCATCACAAAAATAGACAGATATGAGCTTTTTGTTTTGCATAGAATATAAAATAATTGGGATACTGGAGGAGCTTAAAAGTATTTCTCCTCTATGTAAATATTGAAGGGCTACAAATTCTGAGAGTGCTTAAATAGAATCCGATGATAATTCCAGAATCTGGAATAATCATTGGATTCTATTTGTTACAGTTTGTTTACTTTATTTTTGGCAAAGAAAAGTCAGCTTTTCCACAGGAAATATCAAATAAAAGCCAAGAAGTGTATTTCATGAAGGTGTGGTTTAGTAGGCGGATTAAGTATTTGAGTCATTCAGTTTACCTCATCTGAGAAATACATTAGTCAAGAGTTTCATTATTGTTACAATTAAACTTGCAGAATGGAATAATGGTCTTCCTTCTCTGTACTTTGATAGAGCCATTTTAGAATTTATGTGCCATTCATTTGCTTTCCACCAACCTACATTCTCAAGAACTCAAACTTAATCTGATTGATATTTTAAGAGAGACACACACACACACACAGACCGAGACACACACACACACACACACACACACAGACCGAGACACACACACACACACACAGACCGAGACACACACACACACACAGACCGAGACACGCACACACACACAGACACAGAGACACACACACACACAGAGACACACACACAGAGACACACACAGAGACACACACAGAGACACACACAGAGACAGAGACACACACAGAGACAGAGACACACACAGACACACACAGAGACACAGACACACACACACAGACACACACACACACACACAGACACACACACACAGAGACACACACAGACACACACACACACACACAGAGACACACACACACAGAGACACACACACACACAGAGACACACACACACACAGAGACACACACACACACACACACACACACACACACAGAGACACACACACACACACACAGAGACACACACACACAGACACACACACACACACACACACACACACACACAGAGACACACAGAGACACACACAGACACACACACACAGAGACACACACACAGAGACACACACACAGAGACACACACACAGAGACACACACACAGAGACACACACACAGAGACACACACACAGAGACACACACACAGAGACACACACACAGAGACACACACACAGAGACACACACACAGAGACACACACACAGAGACACACACACAGAGACACACACACAGAGACACACAAATAAGAACAAGATACTCAGACTAATCTATTCACAAGATTATTCCATTTCATACCCCATTTTTTTGTTTTGTTCAGCAGAGGAATTCACACTAGCTTGGGGACAGACTGATTGCTTTTCTGCACTCACTGTCACGAAATTCAATTCAAATTCATTGGCCATATTAAGTGAATATATAAATTGATTCTACTTATGACCATAGAGGAGAGAGTGTGAAAACCAAAGTTGAACAGGAAGACAAGTTTCAAATCTTTAGTAACCTATGCATACTTTGCTCACAAAAGCATACACGTTTCTATCAAACACATGTATTTTAACATTTTGTTAAGACATTTAAGAGAAGAAAAAAAAAATCAAATATTTTATAAAGCTAAACTTCAAGAGTCATTTTATCAGTTTACCATGTCAGTAAAAGCCAGCTGACATCTTGACAATAAAAGCAGAGTAGTTTGATGGCACAAACATGACTCATGTTAGCAGGTGTGGCAGACAAGGTGGGTAGGGTAAGGTAAGCCATGTTTAGCATTCGATTTTCATAACATCTAAAATATAGTTTCTATCAAAAGACATTTGATAAGATTGGAAAAAAAAAAAAAAAAAAAACTAAGTAACTTCAAGTGTGTGTGTGATCAAACAATTCTAAGCCTTACCAACACTCATATAATCCAGCTTAAACTGGGAGTGGTTAGTTTTATGAGGGGGCTCATCAGCTTAATTCACAGATTAAAAGTGAATAGAGTAGCTATTTCAAAAGCATAGCTTTGTTTGACACTAATCTAAATAATGAGGACACCTGGGATTGAACTCGCTATACAACACAAGCAGTGGTGAAAAATAATTTAAAAAGATGCTCATTTTATAGAGGCTTCCCTATAATAAGATTACACCAAGTTTTTTATAGTTGAAACTAAGGCCAGAAATTCAAAAGACATGAGAAATTCATCTAATTGGAAATTTAATATTTCACACAAGTTGTGCCAAATATTACAATAAGAATTTTAATTTAAGCAACTTGAGAAAGTAATTATCAGAAATTGTAAATAGAATTGCTTGGAGAGGTAGGGAGAATACATTTTTATTTTATAATGGTTTCACTCTACACAAGGCCCAAGAGTCACTCAAGATAGAGTAAGAGGCACAGTTTATGCGTATATTGAAAAGTTCTCAAGATCCTCATGCCAAATGTGAGCATTGTAGATATTTACTTGCCCCCCCCCCTAGTCAGATTGTGACACAAGGTCAGTTTTTAACGTGGTGACCCAAGTGTTTTCACTCGGGCTGCTGGTCTTAGCTGGTCCAAGCTAGTCATAGCTGGTCAATAGCTGGTCCAAGCCAGTCATAGCTGGTCCAAGCCAGAGCCGGTCCAAGCTAGTCATAGCTGGTCCAACCCAGAGCCAGTCCAAGCTAGTCATAGCCGTGATACCACCAGCACAGGGCCGGAGCACAGGTGCCAGGTAACTGGAAAACAAAATGCCAATTTACAGGATCTTAGCAGGTTTACGGTCTTCAATTGTTGACCAAACTAATGGAAACTATCAAATTATGAACTGCTGGCTGCTATGAGAGGCACTTTTTCCCTGTAGAAGTAAACTCCAGGAGTGTGTACTAGAAACATTGGGTATTAAGTGCCATTCCATCCTGAAATAGGATAAATAAAGTGACAACTTCCAGCATGGGAATTTTGAGGCCCAAACTGTAGCAGGATATAGGAAACATCCAAATGGTATTTACTCCCGAAATTGTTGATTGTATTCAGGAACTAAGTTTGTAATTCACAAGTAGTTGGGTACTCAGAAGTCGTCAGCTGAGGAGTGGGGTGCAAAATGTTTCATTTCTGACCAAAATCAATATCAAGTGAACAGGAAGTTGAATTTGCAACATTTCAGTGACAGTTTTGGAATTATCATTGATGAAACAGTTGCATCAGGATCCAAGTTCATAATGGCCAAAGAATTTTAAAATGCAAGATCAGCAGACAAGGTAACGACTATTGAATTTTTGCCAAATAAGCATATTTTGATTCTCTTCAAAGAGACAAATCTGTTAATTCAGAAGACTAACTTACTATGCTGGTTAAAAGAGACAGTGAAAGAAAAGAGGGAAGATGAGGCAGTAAAAACCTTCTTTGCAAGGCAATGCAAATGCACACCAGAAATGTCCTTAATTTCTGGAGTTTGAGAAAAAACAAAAAACCTTTTAAAGTGATTCTGATGGTATCATCATTAGCAGAGAAATACTTCAATGCCCCAATACCAGAGGTTTATTGGTGGGGAGGGGGGTGGCTCGGTTATGTTAAAGAAATTTTAAAAATGTTATGCCAAATATATTTTATGGTAATTGGTCGCTCATTTCCCATTGGTCAGTCTAACTTTTCAGCACCCCACCTTATATATTCATAATGATTGCGTAATTAAGAGCTAAACAAAATTACAATAGACATTCAAGTTATGAGCAGGTGTGAAGGAAAGTTTAACTTTAGGATAAGGAAGAGAAAATTGAAAGAAAAGCAGGATGAGAAATTCAAGATATTTCTAGAATTGGCATTTTGTTAAAAAAGTAAAAAAGCATAAATGGAATTAGGTGAACAAATTTATTTGAATAGGAATTAATTTCCAATTGACATTCTGATCAGATATGATTGAAAGCAAATCAAAGATCTTATTAAATGTTAACAGGTCTAATCGTTTGTCATTCATTAAAAAGGAAAAAAAAATTTATATCAATTATACAAAAACATTTGATTAGAAAAATTTAAGAGCTGATAATCACATGAGCTGAGTGCGAAAAGATAATTAAAACAATGACAGGCTGAGGGGCAGAAAACTAAGATTTACTACAGGTAAACGTTTCACAGCAGTTAAAAAAAGAACATGCTAAAGGGTGTGTGTGTGTGTGTGTGTGTGTGTGTGTGTGTGTGTGAGAGAGAGAGAGTCATGGTTCTAATTATCCACTGAGCATTTTCTAAAAAATTTTCATGACCTTAAAATACATTAAAATTCCAGTAATTTTTATATATTTTGGAAGATTATATAACATGTTCCATTAAGAAAAAAAGGTAGAAGCCTTCTTTGAAGATAAATGTCTTGTGTTACTTCTAAAGAATCAGTGTTCTTAAAAATTTCTGCACACCCCCTCCCCAAAAGTGAATCATTAAATGATGCTTACGACCATTTTGTCAGATGAAGAGAGAATTTAGTTTCAGAATATGAAACATAAGAACCATTAAGAGAGAGAGAAAAAAAAAAAAAAAAAAAAAAAAGAAAAAAAAAAATGGTTACCTCTTTTTTAGGTTCATCCTGAACATGGAATTTCTCTAAGCCATAATAACGCATACATTCCCGGAAATGACCAACAAGAGTAAGAAGAATGTAACTCATGTAGGTCAAAATGGCTGCAATGAGGGGAGTAGCTTCAAAAGATTCATAAAAATCTTTTTTGTATGTTTCCTGGAGGGAGAGAAAAGAAAAAAAAAATGTAAGTAATGACATTTAATTTTTTTTTTTTTTTGCTTTAAATGTGGAGAAAGTAGTAAATTATCTTAAATTTGTCAGAAACATCAGAAAGGATGAGTGCAAAAAAAAAAAAAAGTCAGATGCAGTTGTAAAAATCAGATCTTGTTTACTTGAAATCAATGTCAAACACTGACTGTATTTGGTAAAGTTTTAAAAATAAAAACATCAACAGATTAACAAGTATTAATTCACAAATTTAATTAGTTTTAAAAGTAAAGCTTGAAAATCAATGATTGGAGAAAGTTTATTAAAAAGAAAAGGTCTTCTATATTACAAGATTGTTGTTTTTTTTTTTTTAACTACATATGACTGAAGAAATATCACTAATAAGATTTACTAACACTAGTTCATAAAAGTCAAATCTGTCAATGGCCAAGCAAATTAACAGCATTTGTTGGCCCTCAATATTATCATGAAACAACTATACAAGTTGTGATTTTTATAGAACCAGGAATATTTGTGAATAATTTGTGTATATATATATATATATATATATATATATATATATATATATATATATATATATATATATATATATATACACACACACAGGTAGTAATCCATTAGTATAATCCAAGTGAATCCTATTAACAATAGGAAATTTTAAAATATCCTTTACACCAGTGAATTTTAAATTTAAAATTCACTGGTGAAAATGATCATTAACTAATGGTGTCTTAATACCAATCGTACTATATATATCTCAAATATTGGCATCACTGAAAATGTTTGAGTAGACACTCCATTTATTTCAATAAGTATTTACTTCACCTACAGGCCTTCATACTTGAGAAAACTTAAAGGAAATGTGCCTTCACACAGTCAAGTAGACAAAAATATGGTTTAAAAAGAAACAGTGTATTCATATATGGTTAGACACTAAAAATAAAATCCATTAGTTCTTTAGAAATTGCTTTGATAATGTTTAGAGAAAAATCTGAATAAGTATGCTTTAAAGGCAAAATAGAACCTTGCTTGAGGGTGAAGCTCTGTGATTGAGTGATCAAAACATACCAGATCAAACCTTTCTCATTTATAGAGACCAGAAGACAGAAATACTGTTTAAAATAAATGTAGTGTCAACCGAAATATGGATATCCACTAAAAATAACTCTTGAAGTAATAAAAAAAAAAAAGAAAAAAAGAAATACGTCAGTTTAAAAAAAATTTTTTTATATATATATGGCCTGACGATTGCATATAGCATGAAACAGACTGTCGCCTCTAAGTGTTGACTTCTATGTTCACTTTTATATTTACACACGCTCTATCTCTGATATTGAGCACTTTATCCCATAAATATAGCATACCTTAAGACTATATTTCTTCATTTATTATATTATATATATATATATATATATATATATATATATATATATCATTATAAAATGCAGATTGTGTGTGTTTATATATTGGATCGGATTTCCTACATTTTCAACAGATTTCAACAAAACTTCACAGGACTACGTAAAATTACCTTTGCGTTGGTTCTGACAGCCTAAAAATTGGAAAAACAATTGTTTTTGCATAAAAATCAATTTGAAAACATGATTAAGAGGCATTAATGAAAGGGGGACAACTCATATCGAGTTATACTTATTAATATCGAGTTATAGAGTTATACTTATTATAAAACTAAGGTTGGTTGTGTGTGTGTGTGTGTTCATTTATATATGGGATCGGATTTCCTACATTTTTCAACAGATTTCAACAAAACTTCACTTTTTTTTGGCAGGTAGTGTTTCTTATTGTCTTGCACACTTTCTTTATTTTTACATTCAGAATGCTTTAAAAATTCCATTTACAAGACAATTGTTTATAATAAAATTCTATTCAATCGGTAGACTCATAACGATTGAAAACAATGTTTTTGTTTGTTTGGATTTGACCAATTAAGAAAAAAACAAAAAAAAAAAACTAATTAAGACATGCGTGTCCGTCAACCTTAAACAATAATCTTTGTCAATTTTTTTTTTCCAGTCTTTATGATGATCAATACTTGATCTATCTCTTACTGTTACATCCCCGGGCAACGCCGGGCTCTACTGCTAGTGTATATATATATATATATATATATATATATATATATATATAAGTGGGAAATGTTTTTGTGTGAAGTGTTTTGTCCTTTAGGACTTCAGACTAAATTTGTCAAGTTTGTGCAACTACACATGCACATGAATGAGGGATGCTAGGAATGTCAACGTTTTTATTTGGAGAGGAGGGGGTTATATAATCTAGCCAATTTCATTTAGATTCTTTTCCTTTCCACTTTTGTTATTAGATATCCCACACTGTGATATTAGATCTACAAGGCACAAATTTACTTTTAAATTAAGGCACTCTGTAAACATTTGTCTTATTATGGTTTTCTCCTTTGATTAGGGTAGCATTTTTTTTATGTCAAAATTGTGGTCGAAATGCTACTCTGATCAAAGAAAACAAGCCACTATGACAAGGGGTTAGTGAGTGTGAGAGAACAGGAAAAGGAAAAAAAAAAAAAAAAAAAAAAAAGCACAATTAAGGAGAGGGAACAATAAAAGAACAAGTAAAACTGGAACTAAGACAGAAAAAGAGTTCCACAAGCAAGAAGTGTGCAAGAAGAAACTTAGCAAAGAACTTACATGTTGCCATTTCAACTGTAAAATGATGAGACCTAGATGCCAATCTAGTACTGCACTTAATTTCATAAAGTGTAGATATCAGAGGAAAGTTCATCAGAACAACATTTCAAACTAAAATAAGCCAGTGACATTATCATCAACTGAAACTCTGGCAGTCCCTTTATTTTTTGATTATGAATATTAACACCCACTTAAATTTGTGCCACCCAAGTGTTGGCAAATTGGAAGCCAGCCAACCTGATTGTGGTTAGTAAAAGCTATCATCTCTATCAACCTGAGAAAAATATGCAGTGTGTGTGTGTATATATATATATATATATATATATATATATATATATATATATATATACACACACACACAAGTGAGAGAAAGATACAAAGAATAAGCAAAGAGAACAATATATGCACATCCTTTTGCTTTAAAAGTTAACATTATCCTAAAAAGGAGGAATTAATGTTGGTTGACATTCCAAATATACACTTTCTGACAAGAAAGGCTCATATCACATGTATAGGTCAACATTTTAGGGTCCTTTAAAGTGGGTGGGGAAAAACAAAACAAAAAAAGAAACCAAAACCATTCTTTTCCTTTCAATAATGTTAGTTCTTTTGTACCTTAATTCTTGTCCCCTTCTCCCCTACACATCTCACATTTTTTTGTTTTGCTGCTGATAGCGACATTTTCAAAAACTATTTGGAGAATTGTTAGTCATGTACAAGTGTAGGTGGCACAATCTAAGGAAACGTCCAAAGTAAACATTCATTTAAAAATTATTGCATCTTACAAGATTTTTGGCTATGGAGAAAAAATAAGTTATCCATAATTACCTATATAGGAAATGAACTTCTTGGAACTAAAAAGGATAGGAAGTTGTGGAGAGCCATGATTGCCTACACCCTAAAGAGGAGGCACATAAAAAAATTACTGATATACTCGCCCTTTTTATGGACCAATTATTAGTAAGGTAATTTGCAACAGCAACAATGTTTTGGAAGAAATTTGAAAATGCTGTTATATTTTAGAGGAAAGTAGAACCAGTAACACTGACCATCCATCTTTTTCTCTATAATTTTCAGTGAAGATGTCAACAGCCTATTAATATAGAAAGATTATAAAAGGATTCCATTTTTATTAAATAAGCAATTGAAAAGTAAAAAGTATCTGAGGTAAGAATATAAAATATCAGAAATAATCTGGTAAAATTTGGGGAGTTGTCAATTTCTTCTGAAGAAAAAGGCTATTTTCCTCACACACTTAGAACTAAAGAGATGCAGTGATTGCTCAATACCTTTTCCATCGGCGCTGGATAGATTTCTTTGATGTGGCACTATATAAGTTAGCATATATTCAAGATTTCTTTAACATTAGAAACATCAAGATGAAGAGGATTATTCTAAATTAAGATGGTGAGAATGGCAAATATTCCTTCAAGAAAAAAAAATTATACACACACACAAAATAGCCAATGAAACAGCAGAGAGAGACTAGGTTCAAATCATTACTGCTCTGTCCCATTTGCTAGAGGCATTGAGTACTTAAGGGTTATTGCCAAGGTAAGCACGTCTTATTTTCTGTTTATTCTTCAGTTTTGTTGGTTCAAGTTTTATTTGGTACATTTCATGTTGGTAAAATTGTATTTGGAACTTTACTCAGCCTAGTTTGTCATGCAAATTTTTTGGGGGGTGGGGGGGATGTAGATATTAGCATCTTTCTAACCAACAGAAAATTTTGAGAGGATGAAGAAAGTCAAACTTTCAAGCAGGCAGAGAGAAAAGTAAGGATTAAGAATTAAAATAAAAAAGTAAGTCTTTAAGGATATAAAAGACAGTTTCCTTAAACACTTTATAGAAATCTTATTGCAGAGACGCAAACATGAATTTCTGAACTTTTGGTGAAGCCTTTTTCTTTTAACTTTGATCAAGGATTTATATCAAGTTTTTTTTATTTTTTTTTTTTTATATATCTAAACAAGTTTTTTTTTTTTTTAAGATTTACCATTAAGCTTTGTTATTGATTAATTCAGATCAAATCTGAAAAAAGTTTTAAGAAATCAACCTCTTCAAATAGAAAAACTTATGGCCTCTAAGCTTATGGCAGATTCAGTTTTACTGGATTAAATCTAATTCCCAAGACACTTAACCGAGAAGAGTGAAGCATCTGTAATTACCAAAATTTGCATAGAGAAATAGCAACAAGTTTCCATTAAAGTCAAGAGTTCATTCAGGATTACATGAAAATAAAATCAAATTCCCAAATATTTAAATGTATCTTTAGTATTCAATGTACTTTTTTCCCAAAAAAAAAAAAAA